GCTAGTTACTAATAAATTATAAACATTCATTAACTGGTGCCTGCGCAAAATAGAAAAAAATTAAATGGTATGATAGAATCACTAATGTTAAGCTTTGGGAGCGAATTGAACAAGTTTCAGTGGACCAAGGGGTGAAGAAAAGACCTTGGCGTTGGATAGGACACGCGCTGACAAAGACCTGAGAGCAATTTAGCTAGTATGTCTTTGCACTGGAACCCACAGCGGCATAGATTTAAAGAATGCATTCTACCCCCCCCCTTTTTTAATGGAGAAGGGAGCTACAGAGTGAAATTTAAAAGATATGAAGGACATGGAAGAGCTGTATGCAAAGGCAAAGGAAAGAACGACTGGCGTGAGTTATTGGGTCTTTGCCCCACACTGTGCGTAGGAAGGCAGAAGAAGAAGAAAAAGAAGAAGAAGGAAGAAGAAGAAGAAGAAGAAGAAGAAGAAGAAGAAGAAGAAGAAGAAGAAGAAGAAGAAGAAGAAGAAGAAGAAGAAGAAGAAGAAGAAGAAGAAGAAGACAAAAGAAGAAAAAGAAGAAGAAGAAGAAGAAGAAGAAGAAGAAGAGAAGAAGAAGAAGAAGAAGAAGAAGAAGAAGAGAAGAAGAAGAAAGAAGAAGAAAAAGAAGAAGAAAAAGAAGAAGAAGAAGAAGAAGAAGAAGAAGAAGAAGAAGAAGAAGAAGAAGAAGAAGAAGCTGCATAGGTGGAGAACTAGAAAACTACACAAAGTTACAAACAATCCTGTACAGATAATACATACGTGTGTTATTACAAGGACGCATCTTTAAACAAGAGCCAACATGCTAAGTTTTAAACACTACATATATCCACCTGTTGTATTACAAACAAATATTACGCTGATGTATAATGTGACACTTCTCATCCGTATCCACAAAAAGTATACTCCTGTTATATTACAAGGGGGACATCAGGTGAACGATGTTTCACTGTCAACTTTGTCCACATTAGAAAAAAATAAAGTAAAAGACCCTGTTCCACTCCTTAAGACGTATTATGCATTTAGGGCTAAACCTATATTTTATAGAACAATCGGCGTTTGGTAGGTGATGTAGTCAGCATCACGACGGCCGCATTTACTTCTCCTGATTGCACCTGGTACCCACTCAAGCCAAGGTCATTTTTGGGAAAAGTGAGGCACCATCAGGACCCGAAGCCAGGACCTTCCGGTCCGCAGGCGAGCGTCTAGCCGCTACATGCACTACGGCACTTCAGAAAGCCACTTGTTTGATTACAAAATGGTAACAGGCGTAAAAGTAACACCTGTGAGATGAGACTCCTGTAGAAGACATGTCAACCATCCCAAATGGAGCGAAAAATGATACCACCAGAATATTCTGAGAACAATATCTTGCACGAAAGTCAATGTTATATTATCACAATCGACGTTTTTGCACATTGGGCATACACATGCGTGCTCAGTCCTCAGATGCAGCAGCCACTTCAAGGTATCTCTACTTATTGTTGCCATGAGGCGTTGGTTATAGTATCTTTTTGTCTTTACCTCTAAGACGGCATAGTCCTGCTTCACCAAGCTTAACTTCTCGGTCACGAAGTCGTGTTAGCTTCAGAGATGATTCGCAATTATCTCCCAACCTAATACGCACGGCGTTGATGGTATCAGCTCTGTCCATGCGTTTTCCCATTTGCATTAGTGCATTACTTGCCAGCTGGTCAGCTCTTTCATTACCATTTACTCCTGCGTAACCCAGGTGTGTAGATCTAGATGAGGTTAACTGCGACTTCTAAAGGCTTTCTAACCATTCGGAGCGGAGACTACCTGTACAAAAGTCAATGGGAATCATAGGACTAAATGGTTCCGCCATCTCGTTAGAATGGAGCCACAACTCCAACGCAGGCACTACACCTAAGAAGGTCTGACGTGAAATCAAGAGCACGCCCAAGAAGGCAATGGACTGATGAAATTAAAGACGTTAAAGATCCACATGGAGTGACAATAGTCAATGCAACCTGAAGCCAATAGCTGCCAACAAATGCTGGTGTCGTTTGTGGCGTCCTGCAAAGGATTTGCTAGTAACTCAGCATTGATGACCAGTGTGATAATAGACATTCTTATCTCTTGATTCGGCGTGTATGACTTAGGCGTTGCGAACGAGCTTCGTAATGCCGGCGTGCCGAGTTCGATTCCCAGCTGCTGGCCTTGCGTTAGGTTTCGACAGTGGTATCGAGAAAACGACCGTCCAGAAAGCAATAGCAAACTACTGGAGTAGATTTCCCTAGAAAAACCACAACAGCTAAAAATGCTGGGGTTGGTTCTGCAACGTATGGTAAAAGATACACAACTAACTTCTATCTCTTAAAAATACCCACCTACTTATGAATATCGGTGGCAAAGTAACCAAGCCGTCTTGCGCCCTGAATGTTCTGGGTTTTGTTGGCATGACGTTTCGTCAATGAGTGTTGTTTTATGGTGATCCTTGGGGAACGTCCCTGGAGCTACGAAATTCATAATTTGTGCAACGCTCCCAACTATCAGCTAACCGTTGTGTTGAGAGAGATCGAGCCATTTTGGATAACCAGCTGCATTGAAGGAGATCTTATCTCAACTTGATCTTTAATGTACACTGCATTCTTTTGGCCATTCTATATGGTTTTGTAGATGAGTCACCTCCATCCATGGGAGTAGGAATCGCACAGAAAAGGTAAGCCAAACACGACCACCATCTCCAGCATCTTACTTACTTAGTCGCTCCTTTTCTACCATCTGGTGTAGAGGTTTGCCATAGAAATCGCCAGACGTCTCTGTCTGCAGTTTTTTTCTAGCTTTTTTCTTTTTTAGCTTCTGTGAGCTGTTATCATTGCCCATGAATCACGCTCATAGGTCAGGACTGGTACATAGTTAAAGCGGTAAACAGCCATTTTCGTCCCCTTGCAAATTTCTCTTTTGGCTCTTGTCAATTTCTCTTATATCGGTTAAAGTAACGGTAATCTCCCCAAATAGAGTAGGTCACTTTTCATTCACAATTTTGTTGGGCTGGTCGACTTTCCTGAAGGTTACGGGTGTGTCCCGCTCTGCTGTTTGCTTTCCCTGTTGTCTTGCATTTACGTTTTCAATCTGAGAAAAAGAATGCACGTGACATAGGTTGCAGCACTCTCTATGGGATTGTGTTAAGGCCAGTTGCTCCATGTTTTTGGGGCGTTAAGAGCACTGGCGTGCTGAAATGTACAACATGCGATATCAACGGTATCGCGGAACACCCCTCTGACCTTGTGCGAAGGTAACGGGGCTCAGCACTTACCAGTCAGAACTGGCCTAGTGTGTATATAGGCGGGCTTGGGGAGATTAACGTTATGTGTTCCCTTTCATCTCTGGCGTCACCAACTAATAATGACCTGCTGTAGTTGGATGTTTCTGTGAAAAACACGCAGATATCGCAGCTTTGTTGTAAACGAACACGGCACAACAACTGCCCCCCCCCCCTTTCCCATCCAGGTCTAGCTATGAAAAGGAGGACGATTTTAAAGATTAACATAAGCAGACATCCTATGCAGGCGGAGCAATTTCCCGTTGAGGTTTCTTCCGATTATTTGGGCCCACTGTCAGGAGGAACACGAAAATTGTCCCCTAAAGGCATTAGTCACCTGACTTGGTCTATCGAGGATTTAAGCAACAATAAAAGCGGTATAAGCCCAAAACCTTCACAGCCTTGGGCTAAGTCGCAGGTTTAGGATTTATAGGTATTAAACTCCCGTGCACTTTGTGCTTTTTAATGTCCTTTATAAACATTAAACATTAACAAACTGGGTTCAACAATGTCCTCAGATGTATAGAACGAAATAGTCAATGACTGGGATCATTGCTCTACTCGTAGGCGTGTTAAAGCTGCTTTAGGCTGGGTATTAACCGCCACTTGAAGAAATCCAGGGTCACTGAAGCTCTGCAATCTCATCACTTCGATTATATTCAGTTGTGTTTATTGCCATCATAATATGCAGTACTAAAGACGGTGTCATTTGCTGTTTAGTTTTATCAACCGTGTGTATCATAACGCCAGCGTTGTGCAGGATAATATCACAAAAGTTAGAGACAAAGTTGGAAATTATATAATCAGATAGACCGTAGGAACAGCACTAAACAGCACGTTCACTGATAAACAGAAGAACAAATGGTTTGGTCACTTCGGAATTCGGCCATAACAACCACCAATGCAGGCGCTACACATAATGAGATCTGAAAGAAAAACAAGAGGTTGCTCTATGAGAATATTGTAGTAAAGAGTTTCTACATCGACATGAAATGACAACGGCCATTGCTGCCCATTAAGCGATGGATCTCAAACTTCTCCTCCCCATAACGACTAGCAGCAGAAGTAGAAATTGATGATGATGATGATAATACAGTCACTGAGAAGCGCCTCCACCCTTTAGCCAAATTAATGCTAATGTAAACGAAAATGAAGAATCAAAACAATACAAATTAGGTATCTGCAATGAATCCAGAACAAACATGAAGTCATAATCAGAAATGACATATCAGGAAACAAGTTTGCCATAGAGAGCCCTGACACTAAGATACAAATATACGCCCATGCAACCGATAGACATATGGAATATCTAAGACAGTGAATAACGAACCATATTTGCAGCATACACAAAGACTCTCACTAGAAGCTTCTTCAAAACCTCACTTTGAACTGCAAAACAGGGGCTAGAGACAAGAATAAGTGGTAGACTGATGTATATACAACTATGCATTTTTCAGTTCTCGTTCTGTATTGTTATGCAATCAAATTAATTATTCATGGATTGGTAGTTCTCTTTTTCTTTTTCTGCTGTTATCCAACTTTTTTTCTTTCTTTCTATCTCAGGAAAGTAAAGTAAGGGACCTTTTTTCCATGCCTTCAGGCTTATTGGGCATATAGGGCTAGGCCTATATTTTATATACCAATCGGCACTCAGTGGGTGCTGTTTCTAAAGCAGTATTGTTTTAAAAAAAAATCACATTAAACAAGTCATACTTACTCATCGGATCGCCAAAGAGACCATTTGCATTTAATTTTCTTTTAAAGTCCATCACGATGTATTGATCGTTGCAACCTGATCGCAGCTGGTAAGGTTTGATTAATGATGTGCCTCCAGATAGTTTGCCAAATGTCGATATGTTTATTAAATTTGCAACACTAGCATCAACCTGTGACGAAGAGAAATGAAAAAATGGCGTGTGTCAGAATGTAACAACTCAATCATAGGTATTATCTTTTCCTGTGTAGGTTACAGGGTCGGGTAAATCATGCGCTGCCCCCCCCCCTTTCTACACACCGGTACACACTAGCTGACTACTGATTGGTCGGCATTGAGACATCCGACCTTCACCAGGTCATAGGGTGTTCCCCATTGCAGCTGATATAGTGTGTTATATATTTTACTATGCCTGCGCTTCTATCGCTACAAAAACATTTACCAAACTGGGTCTAACACACAACCTCCTCCTAGAGAGTGTTGCAACCTATGTCACAGGCAGTCTCTTTCTTGGAACATAAATATAGGTATATTTTACGCTCGTCTCCCCATTTACACATCAGCGGTTGTAGGTCAACTCCATTGATAAGTTGGTTGGACTAGTCTACCGTGGTGGAGGTTACGGGTGTCGCAGTTTGTTGTTGTCTGGTATTTGCGCCCCCCCCCGAGAGAAAGAGACGGCCTGTGACATAGGTTTTGTCACTCTCTAGGAGAGTTTGTGTGTTAGACCCAGTATCTAAATGTTTTAGAAGTGTTAAAAGCTCTGGCATGGTGAAATATACACCATGCGGTATGAGCGCGAGTGCGGAATATCCGCGTGACCTTGTGTGAAAGTCGGATCGCTCGAGGCCGACCTTTCATACGTGATGTGGTCAGTAGGTCGTCCAATCAGAAGCTAGGTAGTGTCTAGCGGTGTTCTAATGGAGAAACGAGCCTAAAATTTACCCAAAGGTAAATGCAAGACAACAGCAGAGCTTCACATAAATAATTTCGACCACTGTAGACTAGACCGACAAATTTATCATTGGAATTTGACCTACTTTCCTGAGGAGACTAACGTTTGTTTAAATCAGGGTCGCATTTCAGGGAAAGGATGGGGTGGGGGTAAGGATCTTAATGAACGGGCCCGCTGGAAACTTGCCCGGGGGCCCCACGAGCCTAAAAGCCCCTTGTTAATCTGGGAATGTCAAGTGACTGACCAAATAAAAAGTTAGTAGTAACGTTATACCTCTGTCCTCTAATCTGTAATTATGCTTTCACACCAGTTTTATTTGCTTTAATAAAAAATTGTTCAACGTGTTTAATATTATCGACCATTGACATATCATTCTGTAAATGGTTTTCGCAAGGGCCTCGGAATATTGGTTTGTCATGGGAGCCCAAAACGCCGTAAAGAACGCTCTAAACAGAAACTGTATTTACTACCTTTGTTTACCTTTTTTTTTACAGTACTGGTTTAAAGTGGCAAACTACTGGACGTAAATTTGCCTAGAAAAACCACACAACAGCCAGGGGCTGTTGGGATTGGTTCTGAAACGTCCTGTAAAGGATACACAACTAACCTATTGGTTTGAGGTTTGGGGTTTTGAACAAGGAATCAACATCATGGCACACAGGTAGTAACACACGAGTGCTCCGTTCTTATTGTAACTCAAGTCTGAGTCCGAACAAGCTCAACACAATGCACAGACTCTGTAGTATTTTGGGTAGAATTGTAACTCCAAATTTTGCCAGAGCAGCGCCGTTAGGTTACTTTTTTATATTTCCAACTGCCCAGGGATTTTTTTTACCTGCGCAACAATGCACACGCGATCTCACTCGCCAGAAACCAGGGGGAATTACTAGAAGTGAGTCCACGTGAAAAAAATCCAAGCTCTTACCGGGGATGGAACCCAGAACCTCTAGCACTCGAGGCGGACACCATGCTTCGAAACCACGCAGCCCTCTAAACAGTAATTTAGGACGGGAAGAATTTAGAACGCATACTGTAGAGCTACCCCCTACAAAAACACCTGCCGGACTACAGAACCAAATGGAACAGGCATCCTAGATCAACTTTAGTGAGCTCTTGGAGACTTGCTGCTGAGGTGCTGGCTCGTGGGAGAAACAAAGCTGATAAACTGAGCATAGGAAACCCATCGTAAAGAGAATGAATAAACGCTGTTTTAGTTTCCTCGTCAGAAAAAAAAAAAAACCTTTAACTTTCCGTGTTTCTTCAGGGAGAGATTCGAGAAGCATGTTGTAAAGGGGAATAATTAACCACATCACTCAGTAAGTATCGATTGGTCTATAAAATATAGGTCTAGCCCTATATGCTCAATACGCCTGAAGATGTGAAAAAGGGTTCTTATGCAAGGGAACCCGCGTGGTGTTTCTTACTTCACAGGATTGTACCTAGTACCTACTCAGGGCTAGATTCACCTGTAGTTCAAGGTCAATTTTGATAAAAATGTCTGGCTCCGTCACGACCCGAACCAACGACCTTCCGACCCTCAGGTGAACGTTTAGCTGCTACATCACGGCGGCTGCCTCATGCATACAGTGGTATAACTTTATGTCTGTAAATCAGTTAACACTCAATGAGCTGGTGCGGTCAACATTAAAGGATCTCATCAACTTCATAGAACATTACCTGGCACACTTTTTTCCTGCGTCCACCTGAAAGGCGAGTTTAATTTTGGAAAAACTCGCGACTCGAACCCTAGACTTTTGGGTTACACACCATGATACCGCCGCCCCGGGACTGAAACAATTCAGTAAACCGGGTATCCTCTTTGTACGACTGAACTGCGTTCCAACTAACTGGTCATAAGTCGAACCAATCGTAGACTGAATTTGTATTTTCTACATTATTTTCAGTCAAATAGGTTATACAGTTTGTACATTAAACACAAGAATGCTATCTATGTACGTATAATTATTGTCCATAATGTGAAAAATACTAAATGTGTAATCTTTGCATCAGTTCCGTGAACTCTTTGAACCTACCAATGCAGTTAACTTTTCTTAATTACTTTTATTTTTATTATCGTGTGAGAACTGCCTGGGGGTTTGTAGCGAAAGACAAAGTAAAATCTTTAGTGCAAGACAGCCTAGCATCACAACATCTAGCATGAGAATGGAGATGGAGGCGGTAACTGCAGCTCTCCGGTGGCTAGAGAACAAGATGCATACACATGTCGTAATTGTAGCAGACTCTGAAAGCATGTTGAATAAAGTGAAGACATGAATGCTTCCAGCAGAGTGGCAAGCTTCACTGGGAAGTTCACCGGTAGTGAGCATATCAGTAGAGAAGCACTATAATCATGGCTCGGAGAGAATAAGGCACCTGGGTGTAACCACATGGTCTTGCCGGTTCACTACACTTAGAGGAAAGGTAAGACGGATATATAACCAAATTGTGACTGGAACTCTTCGCTGGCTGCTGAGGATGAGGACAGAGCACGCATGGGAATGCCCTGAGTGCTGTGATGTCAATTCTTGACTCAATTCAACTCTTCAATGGTCGTGAGTCGCACAGCGTAAATAGAGAAGAAGGTATCACTGCACTCTTGATTCACTAGACCAAAGTGGTAAGATTAATCCAGGAGCAGACAACTTGGTTATTCAGGGAGAAATGCAGTCAAGACTAGAGCGTCGCCTGAGCTCTGTTTTAGTTATGTAAATACATTACATAATAATTGTCCGCATGAAAACATGTCTGTAGCAATCAGGTGTACAAGGTAGCTTGCTAGTCTTGTTTTTGTGATTTGAAGCCAGCCGTTGACCGAACGGTTTTAGAACGCTGGACTCTCACGCGGGAGACCCGGGTTCGAATCCTTGGTAAGGCTGGGTTTTTTGTCCTGTCCAGGGCAAAATAAAATCCTCACAATCACAGTCGTTGCGAGATCACTAAAACTTCAGGCTCAAAGACCCCTCCTCCTACACCGTAAATGTTGGTATCACAAAGGCAGTATTTGGCAGAAGCCAGCCAAATTAAAGTTTGCAAGACACTCTGTTTTCAGTTGGTTTTCGTCAAAATGGGGCTAGAGGCTGTTTAGGGTTTAAGGCCCTTTCTATGCTCTTCAAGCCATCATTCAAGCAGGTGCTGTCTTCACAATAAAGGCCGCTGCAATAGATCTACAACACCATGTGTCTTATCTTGGTAGTAAACTGTCTCACACAGTTATTCGTCCGCCTATTGACGTTGCCTCCCCACCTGTATCGTTGTCTACTTCTTACTCTCTCTTTCCTTTAATTCGCCCTCCATGATGGCTTTTGAAAGAGTGTTTTCATTTAAAGTGCCCACAATATTTTAATTGTCTTTTTTTCTTTTCCCTAAGTAACTAACTCTCTTTTTATAAGAATCTATGATTGTGTTTTGAGTATAAACATTGCATTTCCATTTTTTTAAAACAGGTCTATCTGTATTCTATTTGTGAAGAGATTAATATCATGCCAGTCGATTTTACTTTCAGAATATTTCCTGCCATGTCTATAGGTTGGGGGGGGGGGGGGGGGAGTCGCCGTGGCCGAGCAGCTAGACGCTCGCCGCGGATCGGAAGGTCGTGGGTTCGCTCGACTTTTTTCAAAAATGACCTTGGCTCCCAGGTCGACCCAGCCTTGAGTGGGTACCAGGTGCAGTCCTGGGAAAGTGAAGGCGGCCGGCGTAATACTGACCACATCACCCATCTTAAGCCGATTGGTCTATAAAAATATACGTCTAGCCCTATATGCCCTATACGCCTTAAGGCGTGGAAAAGGGTCCTTTAACGTTACTTTTTTTTACTTACTATAGGTTGGGAAGATGTGGCCTCACAATAACTAGCAATCTTGCCCCTCGCATTGGTTGTCAGGAATTCGAATCCCTCTTTAGGGCGGGGATTTTTAAAGAGAACATCGCTGTTCTGTATGACTGATATCGGCGTCTGTGGCTTTAGCGTTGCGAACGCGCTTTATAATGCCGGGGTGCCGGGTTCGATTCCAGCTGCCGACGATGTGTCTTGCGTTAGTTTCGTCAGTGGTATCGAGAGCTGACTGTTCAGAGGCAGTGGCAAACTACTGAAGGTAACATTTGCCTTGAAAAACCACAACAGCTAAACAATGCTGGGGTTGGTTCTGCAACGTTCAGTAAAGGATACGCAACTAACTAACTAAGTAGGACTGATAAGGCTAAATTAACATGTCAGGAGA